TCATTGATGTAGGAGGAAGTTCTTTAGGGATCGGACGGACAATAGACAACTTTAGCACGGAGGGAAACACGCCCTGCGTGAGGGATGAATTATACACATCAGCAATTACAGGAGAGAGCTCAAAGGCAAATATTTTAAGGATTTTGTTGGGGATTAAGTCCGGGCCAGGAGATTTGTTGGTGTTGATCTTACGTAGAGCTTGATAAACTTGATACGTATCTACTAGAAAGGAGGTAGGGACATCCAATTGGGTCGCCGTAACTGGCTCAAGGGGGGTGAAATGCGAGGTCAAGCTAGTAAAAAACTTGTTTATTGATTCAACGAGGTGTTGACTGGTGGGGTTATCAGGGGACATCAGTTGATGGTGCCACGAGTCTCGGGAGGAAAGTCCACCAATAGACTTAACTTCTTTCCACCATTTCGATGAACTGCCTTGTTTTAATTTATTGACTGATGAGGCATAATATTTGGTTCGAGCAGACTTGACGTCCATAATAACTTTATTACGCCAGTACTTAAACATTGTCGAAGATTTACCGGCATTATAAAGTGCTTTTTGGCGGTTACGTATTGAACTTTTAAGTGAAGAAGTCATCCATGGTTTATCAGATTGTCTTACTTTTGTACGTAAAATAGGAAGGAACAATTCCAACATATTGGTTATAGTATCATAAAATAGTTGGTATTTCTGTTCACAGTCGTGGACATGGAAGACAGGTGACCAGTCATACGATGTAATCCACTGGCCAAATCTTTGTAAATTACTATATCTAAGGTCTCTTTTCGAAATAGGGCTGTTATCTGGCTTCTGTGGTCTAGGGAGACAAGTCTGATAATAATAGTATTATGGTCACTAGTTCCAATTTGAGGGAGTTGATGCTGATCGAAGAAGGATTTCTTAACATTCGTTAGCACCAATCTAGTATAGCATCGCCTCTTGTCTTAACATTGATTATTTGGGTTAGCCCGGTGACTCTTTTAACCATTTTTCCGTCAAAGCCAGTGCTTGAAGGGTTGAATCTCCGGTAATAAGAAGAAGGGCGTTAGGATGTGTTACGGAGAAAGGTATCAACATTGGTTTGGAGATGGTTATATAACGCAACGTTTTCTACAGCGCCAGGATGTAGGGTGGTAAATGACAGCTAATAAAATTATAGAGATCGATCTAGGCAGGCGGGTGGCCTGATGGACACCCATAGAGATTCAATACCCTGGTCTTCATAAGTATAAAGTCTTCTGCATGGAATTTTGCTGTTAACGTAGATGCAGACACCACCTCCACAGGACGAGGTTCGATCATTGCGAAAGATCAAATAATTAGTAAGAGAAACTGCAGAATCAGGAATATTATTGTTTAACCAAGTTTCGGTGATACAAATAAAATCAGCTTCATTGACTTGAGAAACTACTTCAAGTTCATCCACTTTGTGTAAAATCGAACGGACATTAGATATTAACAAACGTGGAAGGTCAAACTTATCTGGATTTACCAATGTGGGACACGATTGGGTGGTATGCGATAAGGGACTTTCGGGTAGGGTGGGAATGGCTGGGGATGTGGGTAGAATGGAGGGAACCCTAGTTCCATCAGCGGTTTTGGGTATTGCACATTTATCGGCGGGTATTGGTAGGGTGGAACTTCTGTTAACGATTTCGGCTGGGGATTTGGGGGCCACGCTTGTTGATGGTAACGAACGGGATTGTTCATTATAGACCTTTGAAAAACCGTATCGTTGTAAGGTGGTTGGTTGTGAAAAAAATCACAGTAATCTCCTTTTAGACAAGACCCTTTCCTTTGAAGAAAGGGACACGGGATATATTGTTTCTGATCATTAGATTTGGGCTTTGTATGCAGAAAGTCACAGTGGTCTCCTTTAACACACCAGCCTCGTCGTAAAAGAAAGGGGCACGGAATTAAGCTTTTAGCAGGATTAGCGAAGCGATTACTATTAACATAATTGGTCGTACGGTTTAGTTGTGCTTTCAACTTCAAATTCTCGTTTTTTAGTAAATAGTTCTCATGTTTTTGGTCAATGACAACATTGTTACTAACTTTTGATGTTTGTTGATTTGAAAGGGGGGCATCAGTCTTCGGTTTACTAATATTTTTGTCCAGGTCGATTCTCTGACCTTTCGATGGAATTTTATTATTAGGGCGAGGTGGGCTCAGATTGCTTTCATTAAGAATAATGGTTTGTTCACAGTCCTGCGATGGTAATTCTTCTGTGATGCTAATTATGCTTGCCGATGCAATGTCATTGTTTATATCATCGTGGGGCTTGTTAGGTATTTGTTTATCAGGAGACACTAATTTTGACTTAAGAAATATATTCTCTTCGTTAAGGTGTGTAATGGTTTCATCTTGACGACGAACCACCCCTTCCAATTCTATAATTTTTGATCGAAGTGAGTTTAAATCCGACTCGTACCGGTGATCACTTTCTGATAGAGCTGCAAACAAACGCGACTCTAGCATTGTCATATCCAGTTTTATGCCCTCCAAATCTGCATTAACCACACTATTAGCACACATACAAGTACATGAACACACTTCGGGTGCGTCTGACTGTGTCAAGTCTGAAGCAGCATTCTCGTCTCTCGGTTTTGTTGTGGGTTTGGGGTGGGTTACAATGGCTATATTTTTTAGTTGAGATTTCATATCCTCACTACAGGCACCATTTATAGTTAGTGAATTAGTATCTGAGTACCATCTTACTGTTAAGTCGTTGCTTTCAAGTACTTTACAGTGGCCACCAGGAGCCGACCATTTGCTTCACTCTTTGTCAAATCATTCATCATGAGTTTGAGTTCTTCAAAGGAACCGAGCCATTTAAATCTACCTCTTTCACTAATGGTAAGATATTTTGTACCATTAGTGATATAATTTGCTTGATTGGTACCAGATTTCACATACAAATCCTGTTCTATATCAGAGACTGCAGTTGCATGACCGACCGCCATATTGCTGGAGAAAAAAAAGCTAGGCAAGGCTCATATATTTGGAAATAATTTATATATTTGGAAATAATTTAAAAGCTAGGCAAGGCTCATATATTTGGAAATAATTTATATATAATTTATATATATATATTTGGAAATAACTTAGGATGCAGTTGCACTGAAGGTTGAACTTTGTCAACCACTTTAGGGGAATCGTTGACGACAACTTGCCCATTTTAGTTTTTATCTGCTGCTTTTTTGCGCAATTCCGCGTTTTATCCCCTATTTGCGGAATCCGCGTTTTATCCCCATTTGCGTAATCCGCTTCCGGAATCCGCTTCCGCCATTCCGTTCCGTATTCCGTTTCCCATAATCCCAACCCCACGCAAAACACACGTGACTAAAATGTGAACCATGCCCCTCTCGTCTGGGCAGTCTGGCTCTCCCTGCAGAATGCACAAAAAGCTTAACATCTTAAAATACAGTAGTCCCCCGCTTACACGAACTCGCTTAATCCCTTGGATTTGGTAATGTTGTTTATAGTAATTTTATTTACTCCGCTTAATTAACTCGAACTCCTCGCTAATTCGAATAAATTTTGTTTTCCCTTGGTCGAATATATCCGGTTAACTTCCAATCGTTTCGAATCATAGATCAGCAAACTTTAAAATGTGAGAAGATAGCATTTTGACAACTGCATGGAAACTATCGAAATAACAACAATTTAATGGGTGTATAATTGTATAAATGATTATAAGTTTTAAAAGATTATCTGTAATGCCAAGATCGTGATTGATCTAGCTTTTTAGTTCTTTTTGTAACATCTCTACATATTAACTTCAGTTAACTTTATTCTTTAATGTCCGGTGCTTTAATCAGTATTCACTATTGTATAAAGCTGGATTTTTAGCAAATAAACGCATGAACTGCTGCAGCTCAATGTACGTAAATATAAACGTAATCTTACACCAAACCCCGTTTAACTCGAACCCCCGGTAACTCGAACAGTTTTTTCTTTCCCCTTGGGAGTTCGAGTTAGTGGGGAAATACTGCATGTATCCCGAATGAGATTTCGCAGTGATAAAAACCCCAATATTTCAATACATATTGGGAAAACATCCTCGAAAGAAGCTATTTGCCAAAGGCAAAGCTCTTAAAACCATAGTTCTGGTTCAATACCGCCCAATACAAAGAAAACTTTAAGCATTGCAGAACTAAGGCCCGTTTCAGATGTCGAACTTTTCATGTGCCGAACCTAATGTTAATGAAATCCTTTATTTGCATTTGATTCGACGCATGAAAAGTTCGACGTCTGAATCGGGCCTAAGCTAATTCATTGCTTTGCTGAATTGTGAAAAAAGATACGTTCCAATTTTTTTTTCATGACATGGGTCTGGAAAATAACATTGGGAATAATTTTTTTCACCCATAGCCTTCAGACTCAGAGCCAAGTTAAATTATGCAGGACGTTCCTGACTATGTACTTGAAAAGTATCTTCGCAGCAATATCATTTGAACCAAAATATGCAGCCATTCTAATCGTCGAGTCTAAACAACTGTTATTTGTTACGCTCCTAGCCTAGGGCCTTTTGAACAGGAGCGAGGTATTTCAGCTTTTGTCCTTTATATTCACATATGAACTAGATTTGTTAACCACATGCCTGGATTTCGGTTTATTACAACGTTGATACGGATAATTACCATACAAAACAAAACGAAGGGGAAATGTGTCTGTGGCGATTAGGACACCTACATGCATGCCAAGATTTGATACATCATTGATCATTGCATACCTGCACGACAAAGGCAAGTCGTCCAAACTATGGCGGAGAAATACTGACGAATGTCGCACAAGGATAAGTTAACTGGTCCTACGATCAGTGCAAAGTGGTGCAAACGAATGCCCGCGTTTCCTCAGTTCGTTGCCGAACTTTTTATAGGTTCTCCAAGTTTATAAGTTTACAATTTTATATGTTCGATACAAGCAAAACGCGACGTTTGAAACAGGCCTCTCCCTCTACTTCATAAACATATAATCGTTATGGATATTTTTCCCTTACCTTTGAGTGCTTTGGATTACGAATGATTCGCAGTTCTCCTTCGCTTCGGCCTTCGGGCAGATATACTGCTCACCGGGAAATTGTTTTCCGTCCGTTCGAACTTCGAAGGCTGTAATTTGAGTGTCGAATTTCAAGTTGCGAAATTATGAATGCGAAATATATATATATGTATATATATGTATGTTTATTCGATTGTCAAACTATATTGACCGTCGGCATTCAAGCTTATCTGTTGATACAAATGATACCCTATCTTCTGGTTAGATGGGTGTCAGTAATTAAATAATTTAAATTAACCTAAAGGTTGCCCTGAAAAGTCAATATAAGGTTTCTGCTAACTGTTAAAAACCCTTTTTTGGCAAAAGGTTAAATGAAGATGTATCGGCTAGAGATTACGTTTGACGTCTCAATTCTCAAACAAAACGCACAAATGTTATCAAAATATTTTTTATCTTCAGGAGTTTCACACTTTCACTAAACGTCGATCGAGGCCTAGAGTAAAGAGTCGTGTGGGTAAGGAGTATTGATATTTCATATTTGTTTGAGGTCAAGTTTACGCCTCCAAGCCGAGGGTCTGATAATTAACTCCACGTGTTTTCTTATTTTCTCTATCCTGTCAATTTCGGACGGGCGCCAAAATTTCGAATTATTAAAAACGTCGTTGAAAAATTTAGCCAAGATTCGTTAAACCCGAAAATTTGCCGATGAATGCCCTTTTTGCCCGAAATATCATAGATAGGTTGCCCAATAATTGTGGCGTAATAATATATAATTACATGTGATTATATTAATATATAATCACATGTTGACAAATTGCCGAAAAATTTCTCGCGTTAAATTATCACGCATATTTGGGCTGCTATGGAAACATCGGAGGTTTTTTGTATTCTTCAGTTAGTCCAATATTCTGGTTGTGAACAAAGTGGGAATGACAGAGATTATTATTATTCAAAACAAATCGCGAATTCAAAGTCAGAACTATGAGAGTTCAAGCTTCACGGTCAACGATTTTTCGAAAACCATTTTGTGGCTTTAATGAATTTTGTAGCTATATTTTAGTCATCCTCAAGATAGAGATCTTTCTATCCAACTATCTTTTTAACTTAGCATCAAATGTGGAATAACAACTGCCTAAAATAGACAAAACACTTCTCGACGTTTCGACCTGAGGGCCTTCGTCAGGAGAGTTAGTATGACTCTCGTGACGAAGGCCCTCAGGTCGAAACGTCGAGAAGTGTTTCGTCTATTTTAGGCAGTTGTTATACCACATTTGATGCCAAGTTTTTGAAGACGCTGCCACGCTGCTCCCTGGTTATATTTTAACTTATCTTTCAAACTATAGACTCTATCTATCCTGAGGACGTCTACAACAGAAATTTCGACAAGTTTATAATTACAACGACATTGAACAGAGGTTGTGACAAGTTTATAAACAAAAAACGTTGTGTTAAGCGGATTTGAACCAATTCGTAGAACCAAAGGTAGAATCCAGGACACGAACTTTCGAGTGTTCTAGTTCCCAGACCCCCGCGCTTCTGATTGGTAATGTGCAACAGGCGATTGCGCTTTCCGGATCAGTCGAGATCAATCTCTCTTGTAAGATAAAACGCGATTAATATTGTATAACGATATTGAGTTCAGTAATCCGCTTCCTTAACTAGTATTCAGTCATATTATCGTTGACAAATGGAATGTGAAAATGGAATGAGCCGTTGGGACGAGCTCCAAGAAAATTCCGATAATCACATGCTGACATAATATACCTTAAAACCTATAGAGATCCTATTTTATTAACAGGCAATAATAATTATTACGTCTATGTCTAATACCCGGCCGGAAATCCGTTTCCTGTTATGACATGAGGTTTTACTGCTCCAACCTGTGCCTTGAGTGCGCCAAAAAAAATCATGATATCAAAATACTCCCGCAACGCCGTGTATCCATTAATGGGCATTTGCAAGAGTTAAAATATTCTTTAAACAAATAGAATCACTCTGCATCCCAACATTATGTACGAGAAAAGGCATTATTTGTACGAAATTCGCTTCTCAATTCGGCTGTTGTTCGGTTTGGCTATAGCTTACACTTTGCGCAGATGATATCAGCCTGGTTTCTATCATTCATTCGCCAGTGTCACGGAAAGAAACAGTATCTTGTTACTTCCGACGAAGTTTTATAATTATGCAAACATCTGGCTGTAAAACTGTCGGCGTTATCTATTCCATCTAAGGTTCTTCGTTGACATATTGTATAGAACCACATAAATTTTAACGATTTTTGTAACTATTTCCCCTTAAAATCAATAAAAAGAAGCACGAAATAGGCCATATTTAAGCATTTCTAATTTTTGTGCAAATATTGTGCATTATTTATTTGGATATACGAATTCATGCAAATCGGCAACAGCGAATCTACATCACTACATGAAACGTCTGATCCTGTGTAAATAATTTGTCCCCCAGCAAGAATATACCTTTATAGCTTTTGTACTGGTGGAAACTGGTATACAATATAAACACACTAAACATATTTCTTGTTTCTAATTGCCTTTGCTTATATACATATTTAAGACACACAGAAGAAATTTTAAGACTTACCTAAGATTAGGTATAACACGAACCTCGAAACCCAATTGGCAGATAGAGATTGATTCACATAAGACTAACAGCTGCAAAACAAGCGCGGACTTGACCCCACAGTTTGATGCTCTATTGTGACGTAGAGATTTCGCAAGTTCAAAACGCATGCGCTGTTTCGAAGTACAAACATTGACGGGCAGACTGAAAAAAGTTTGGCATGTGGTTTCCGGAGAATTTTATAAATAACTGGAAGGCTAAAAAGTGAGAAACATGCTTATTCCCTGAGGCCAAATTTTTTGTTCAGTTTTGAGATGAACTGATACTCGACTCCCTACCTGGTGTAGAAATTTCAAGACCATGATAACTATTTAAAAAATAATAAAAAATTGGCAGGCGGCGAAAGAACGGCAGATTATCATTTATTCTTCTTTTAGCTATATTCTCTAATTTTTTAAGCGGGGTTTTCATTATCTTTAGTTTGATATGCAGACAAACGTTTGGGGTGAAACATATTTGTTTATAATCAGAACTATAGGGATCCAAGGATAGCACAAAGTTTCAGTGCCCTTACGATACTTAGGCAACCAGACGTTTGTCGCACTGATGCAGCTTGATTTTTATTTAAAAAAACAACAGGGATTCCTATCATCGTTATGATAATAAATTAACAACTGGATTTACATTCAGTTAACTTCATACTTATTTACGAATATACATATCAAACCCATAATATCTTTCGAAAATAATTCTTTGACTGTGAGCTTCTAATATACTGTAATAAATATATTGTAGCTATATATATATAAATTAGTATAATTGGTATAATTACAAAGATGATTATTGTCATATTGGAAATTCTGGCCTCTGGAAATTCTGATTTTTCAAAATAGCAAGGAGTTTTTGTCAAAGTGACGGATAAAGAAATCAGTAAGTCTTTAGGAAATACTGTACTTATAATAGGTAGAACAAAAGAATCGAAAGAATTCAAAATCTTTTTATTTTAATTGCCGTAAAATTGTCGAGATATTGATTTACGATTGTAAAAATGTATTTTCTATACAAAAGTCAATAGATCGGCTATTTCAAATAATCACCTTTCTAATTATACTAAAATATAATTATTCACCAAGAGAAGATATACTATAATTTAAGCTATTACGCATTAGAAAACGCTTGTAGCTCACGCCGTGAAAACGTCGCGGAGTAAATTGTATTTTTTTTAATTCCTATGTTTAACCAACACTATTTATTAATTCCTAATATTACCATTTCTTAATCCACACCTCAATCCGAGATCTCTTCCAATTTTAATCCATTTCGAACGAAAATTAATACGGCTTTTTTCGCGTTTTCGTTGGCGCTGTCAAACACCGATGACGCACCTACACATAGTGTTATTTTGTTGGGCACGTGACCAGGCTGGCGTTCGTCCCTCCTGCCTTTTTCTAGGGCAGGGGGAAGAGCGAGGAGGAGCAACGTTCATAAACAAAAAAAGAGCAATTGTCAGTCAACTAGTTTTCGTTCTGCACTCGTAGTTTTCTCTTTGTGTACAAAGAAATATCATACGAAATATCACAGCGATTGCATATAAATTGAAACTTATTATTTTAGTACACCTAATCTGTTGGACCATGGATATCCTTCTCACCAGCAAGTATAAAACGGCATTTACTGGGCTTTCTTTTTCACACGCATATACAGACAATAAATCGAACTGAATAACAGATGGTTCCCTGTTGGAAATTGTGCGGATATAGGATAATTATCATGCAAACGTCGTAGGTATAAATTAATACTGCATGAGGATCAATAATAAGTAACGAATTTGGATAATTAAAGACAGATTGGAACTCGGATTGGAATTTGGAAGTGACGCTCAACTTGAGAGCATCAAATACGTATTGCGATAGTGAATGTGAATTGGCGTTTTTACTTTAATCTTTATTATTAAAAGTGAAACTATAATTGTGATTATGTTGCTTTAACATAGCCTCTAACGGCATTTCCAACATAAGTGGTAAAGAGAGATTGGAAGTGACGCTCAATGTGAGAGTATCAATTAGGGATTGCGATAGTGAATGTGAATTAGGGTTTTTACTTTACTCTTTATTTTTAAAAGTTAAACTATAATTGTGATTGTGTTGGTTAACATAGCCTCTAACGGCATTCCCGACATACCCATTTCTTGAAAGACCTTCGGAGAGGGAAACATCGTCAACAAATTTCCAAATGTCAGATTTTCCTGACCTGAGATTGTAAATCATTAACCATGACAAAAAATAGAATAGGACCTAATTTAGTTCCTTGGGGAACTCCTGCTTTAACAGGTAACCAGCTAGAAACAGCTTCACCAAGTTTGACACACTGCCTTCGCTCTGATTAAAAATTCCTAAAATATTAATTCGGACCGCAAGAAAAAAACTAAACGAAGATAGTGACCTAGAAAGTCCAAATGCATGGGAGAGCCAAGAATGCAACAAGTCAAGCAAGCAAAGGTGGTAGATGAACCCTTTATGGAACCAAGCTGTTGAGGATCAATATCATGCCGGACATCGGAAATCATCCATAGAACGACAAAATCTGCGAGAACTGCATGCGAGAATCTGCGAGAAAGGGATGCCGTTAGTGATATAGGTCTTGTATCAGCTTCATTCACTGATTCACATGTTGCTTGATTTTAGGAATAGGAGTGATACATGAATCTTTCCATATATTTGGAACAATCCCAGATGAAAGTGATATATAACTATCAGGACCAGAAGTTTTCGAGGCATTAATGGCTAATAATTTCTCGCAAACCTCGTGGAGTTCAATATGTAACGGATATCGGATAATGGAATAACTGTAAATATAGACTAACACTAATAGAATAAGGAAAAGTAAGTTGCCGCGGATGCACCATTCATTGTAAGTACTTCCGAGATCAATATATAAATATAGCAGTTAATAATAGAAAATAGCATTATAGATAATTAAAGGAAGCTAACACGCCCTATAGAACGAGAGTATAAATAACAAATGTAAAATATGAATAATAGAGTTGGATCTAGACCTGCATGTTGTGTGTGTGAAGTAAGCTCGGCTCGTTACAAATATAAGAGACTGGATCAACGGCGGGAAAATATGATGGCAATAGCGTGGTGTGTTTCATTAACTCTAGCGTTAATTACGTTGGCTGCAGAGATCATAATTAAAAAGTTCGTTTCTCTTGCAGTTTTGGAGGTGGTTACTCAGGATCAATTTCGCGGCATTCCAAAGTCATCAGCAACTTATGCCCTCATCAGTATTATTCATACATGCGCCCACGCGACTGATGGTACTGGTGCTTCCGTCTTCTACTGTTCGATTACCGCAAAGCCTTTGATCTGATTGACCATAACATTCTTATTATTAATTGGATCATCGATTTTCTAACATTTAGGGAACAACGAGTGAAACTCGCCAGGAATTGTTCTTAGGAGCCAAACTAGCCAAATGTGGTTTTTTAAATGCGGAAATATATTGACGATACCACTGTTGTTGAAATAATATCAAAAGACAGTCAAAGTACTATTCAAACAGGTGCGAACCAGCTGGAAGATTGGACTGTGTAGAATAAACTCCAACTTCCAAAATGTAAAGAGCTATTGTTTCAATTCACGACTGTTAGAAGCCCCTTTCCCAGTATCGTTCTAGGTTCTGCAACTCTCGAGGTAGTTGATCATGCTAAGGTTTTGGGACTGACTATCAGCAACGATCTAAAATAGTCCAAACACGTCGCACACACAAATTGCCCGTCAAAGAAATAATCAACTTTTACTGTACATGCGTAAGGCCAGTCCTTGAGTATAGCTGTGAAGTTTTCCATTTTGCCCTGCCCACCTATCTTAGTGACGCTATTGAGCAAGTACCAATATGTCGATGGTCTCTTTTAAAGGAACATTAGGAAGAGTGCGGTGACGTCATAAGATACCAATATATCCTCTTTATTCATGGTAAAACTGCAAATCTCCTTCGCGAAGCTAAATGCGTCAGTGATGGTGTACTCATTAATAGAAAATGGTTTTAGCTTCTCTTCATGCCATTTAGCAAGCTTATGATTATAAGAGATGAGCAAGCCTCATATTTTATCATTGTATCTTGAGATGATTCCAAGTACATTTTTATCACAATTGTTCATAGTAAAATCCTCAATTTTCTTACTTTATAACCATATAATATAATACGTTAATAAATATTTAGTGTATATCCTTTACCAACCTTAAATTTTATTAATTGTAACTTTACATATAATACTCTGTAAAGCATATCTCTATTGAATTCTTTAAAAAAACACGTAAAATGTTTTTTCAAATAAATCTATCTATCTATCAACAGAGATGTAAAAAGGGTTAAAGAGAGTTAACTAGCTCCAGTCCGATAACAATCTACCATCCTTTTCCAGAACAAGTGTCTCCTTTGTGGGGTCGATCAGCCATTATATTTACGATCTGCCACCACTTTCGACAATCGTCTTTCTTTAGATGTTAAACTTTTTTCTGTAATATTCTTTCTTTCTTATTGCTATTTCGGTTTGAAGTGTATACTTTAATGTTTTCAACCAGAGTGTATTTCCATTATGGTAGGCTTTTTGACGCTCCTTAATAAGCTTTTTGGTCGCCGCTGATATCCAAGGCTTATCAGAATGGCAAAACCTTACAGACCTCAATGGGATAACTTTGTTAAATGTTGTTGACAAACCATAAACCAGAAGTGTACTAGGCCACCGACCAAAAGCATTAATGGCGGCAGATCGCGGATAACGGAGAATTAAGGCGATTTTCCATTACCGTCCGCTAAAGCGGCCTTTGAAATTGTGCCCATGCGACCGTGACGGGCCTTAAAAACAAAGCACGCTTCCCCGCGCGGGCAAAGCGACTGCAATGGAAAATTGCCTTAAAGTGCTTAATCGGTTTAGTTTGGGATTTACGAGTAGTGTCGACTTTAAGAAGCAGATCTATCGAGAAGAGGGTTATAAACGATGCAAGCTAAAATAGCTGAGAGAGGTCTTGCCTGGCAGGTCGAGCGGATCCATAACCAAATACATTCAAGATTAGGATTTCAAGATCTAGTCTCCGCTGACAGGGAATGTTTTG